CATCACAGCATCAGTCGTTCCGGATCTTTCTAGCGACCATGAACCTGTTCACCTCTCAATAAACCTTCAAAATTTCACCCCACCCTCGCCCAGAACCTATCGCTTCACTAACTGGGAGACATTCCAACAAATTATCCACCACACCATCCCTGGTAACACCATCATCGAAAATATCGAAGGCATCAATAGCTCCATCTCCTCCTTCACCCAAGCCATCAGCACTGCAATAAATCGAGCAAGTAAATGCAAAGTCATCAGTAGCACTCCCTCCACCATTCCTCCTGAACTCAGAACCAAAATCACTGAAAAAAACCGACAAAGAAAACTTTGGCAAGAGACTAGATACCCTCCCTATAAGACCATTCTCAACAAAGTACAACGAGAAATTAAAAAAGAACTCTCCACATTAAGAGAAGAAGTTATTAATAGTTCCCTCTAAACTGCATCCATAGTAGACAACTCTATCCACAAGCTTGTAAAATATCTTAAACTCACTCCTAATGTCATTCCACCTATCATGAGTAGCCAGGGCTTAATTCATGATACCCAAGACAAAGCAAATTTCTTCGCAGAATGCCTAGAAGACTCTTTCATGATCAATGACGATCCGGAAGACGAAGACCACATCAAAATAGTTGAAGAAACAGTTAACACTTTCCTCCCCACTCCACACCACTCCAATGTTCCTCCGCTTACCTCTCCCTCTGAAGTTATGGAAATTATCCTAAAACTCAAAAATAAAAAAGCCCCTGGACCAGATAATATTTGAAATTTTGCCCTTAAGTCTCTTAAAATTAACGCAATATCCTATCTCACCAAAATTTTTAACAGATGCCTCACCCTTAACTACTTTCCCGATGCCTGGAAGCATGCCATCATCATCATGATTCCAAAACCTGGCAAAGATCTCCAATATACACTTAACTATAGACTAATAAGCCTTATCTCATCCATAGGAAAAAATTTCGAAAAAATCCTTCTCACGAGAATCAAGAACCATACTGACAACCATAACATCATCCCACCGCATCAACACGGTTTTAGGGAAGACACTTCTATTTGCCACCAACTCCTCAGAGTTACCAACTACATTAGCTCAAATTTCCAAAGAAAAATAGCCACAGGTGGTATTTTCCTTGATGTCCAGAGGGCGTTTGATCGCATCTGGCATGAAGGTTTAATTTACTGCCTCATCAAACTCCAATTTCCTACTTACATCATCCTTATCATCAATAGTTTTTTCAACAATAGAACCTTCCTAGTTAGACTCCAATCCTACCTATCTGACACCTACAATATTTCTGCGGGCTGTCCACAAGGCAGTTTGTTATCTCCCCTATTATTCCAAATTTTCATCTACGATTTCCCTACATCACCTCAGGTAGAGGTTTGCCTATTTGCTGATGATCGGCGATCCTCACAAGCCAAAAATCCACGCTGGAAACTCAAATTATTCTCCAAGACTACATAGGAAACCTGGAAGACTCGCTCTCCCTCTGGAGAATCTCCATAAACTCAGACAAATCTCATGCAGTCCTCTTCACAAAATCTAGTAGAACAGCAGACTACCCTCCTCCAATCAATCTGTTTGACGACTACATCGAATGGACTGATAGCATCACCTACCTCGGCCTCCACCTCGATAGTAAACTAAATTATCAAGACCACATCCAAAACACCATCGAGAAAGCCTCCAAGAAGTTCTACTCCCTGCAAGCAGTACTGGAGAAAAAGTCTAAACTCTCTCTCAGGAATAAACTCCGTATCTACAAAATCTATGTTCTTCCAATCATCATTTACGGCTGCGAAATTTGGGGGACCTTGCAAAATCCAACAGAAACCTGCTTCAACGTACTCAAAATTCTTTTCTACGCTCAATATCCACAGCCCCTAGATATATGGCAGTCCGCTATATCTACAGAGAATTAAATATCCCATCCATCGCCAAACTCATCTCCCAGCTTTCCTCTAACTTCTACAGTAACATCGCTAACCATTCCAACAGCACAATTAATAACCAATCCATCATCCTCGAAAACCTTAATCATTCTGCCCGCTTAGCATCCACGTTTAACTCTCTTTTCTGGGGAGACAATCTCATCCTTCTACCCTTGACTATTTTCTAAGATCAAATTTTTTCCCAAAATGTTTTTTCCCCCTTTTCTACTTGGAAGACCGGTCTTCAAAGCGGAAAATACTTATTGGGGTACATAACCCTAACGGGCTTTAATCCCCAGTATATTGGCTATTAGTTGCGCGTGAGACAGAACTTTGGTTATTTCACTTGTCCAGGAGTTTAAAAAATAAAGCATGAAAATTTTTAAAATATGAAACATGAAGAATTAAATTAATTAAGTGAACAATAGTAAAATTACTGTTAAAGAAATGCATTGGAGGCTTGAATATAATTAGAATATCTTGGCTATTTAAAATAGTGGTGTTGATATTGTGCTATTTTTTATTTGAATTAGTTGAAGATATTTTTATCTTTATGTTGGGTTGGCGGCATAGATATTTTAATTTAATAGCCAGTTTGAGACTGTGGAGGGTATAATTTATTTGCATGTTGGTGGTTGTATCGTAACTACACCTGCGATGAATATATTAAGTTTGTCTAGATCGTTGTCTACTTTAGACATGTTATTTAGAGCTTCAAAAAGTTTGGGAAATTTGTTAAATAAAGTTTGTAATTCATTTATTGCTGTGAGGAAGTTAAAGCTATTCGGGTTATTATTATTAATAATGGTTGGTGGGTTAATGGGGGCTTTTGCCGGTTCAAACTGGCTGGAAGCTTCAGTTGTATTTTGCACTGATTGTGGCACCACTTCTTGAGGGATTTGGTTACCACAAACATTCGTAAAGGAAAGATTTTCGGTAACTGGTCTGGTTGCAATTGTCTATCTAGTATTTTTTAGGTTGCTTCGCCTTTTTTGGATTTTCTTTTCGGGAATAGGGGCAACGTTTCCAGAATGCCATATGGTTGGCTTTGAAATTTATGCATGTTGGGTGCTCAATTCTTTCTTTAATTTTGCACTCGCCGGTGCGATGGTTTTGTCCACACTTTAGACATCTAACATTCATCCGGCAGTTTTTAGACGAGTGATAAAAGTGATTGCAGTTATAGCATTGCGTGGTGGCTTGTTTCCTCTTGAAGGTAACTATTTTTACGGATATGTAAGTAATTGCTTGCACTTTGTATATGTCAAGTGCTTTGTCGTCTCTTCTGACTTCCGCCATGAAGATAGGTAGTGGGTGCTTCGTTTATAGCTGCCTTAGCTGCACTACTTTGTCAATTTTAATGCCCTGGTTTTCCAGGTCCTCTTTAATTTCGTCTATTTCGGCATATATGGGAAGGCATTTGATACAAATTTTCAAAGGTTTCTCGTTTATCGGTTGGATTATATAATACTCAGCTTTCATATTTGTGAGGAGGGTAGTAATTCCTCTGTGATCATTTTCAGTCTCATGAGTTACTTTGATGTATTGTATTGACTTGAAAATTAGCTGACAGATTTCGGGTAATCTCGATTTACTGCTTGTATTTGTAAATTATAGTTTTGTGTCAACCGAACTATAACTTGTACTTGGGTGGTGGTGGGGAGAGAGAGGACAACGTCCGCTTCCTCGGTATCCACTGCAGTGAGCGCGTTGAAACTCTTGCTCGGTTTAATAGGTGTTGGGTTATTTATACTTTTGCTAGTATTATTCTTAGCCGTTTTTGATGGTGCTATGAATCCATCATCATCAGTTTTACATAGTACTTTAGGAGCTCTGCTAGTTATTTGTCGGATATCGTTAGGCTTAGTCTTATTATTGCTTAAGCTAGATTCCACAGATCTTTTGCGGAGGTTTTTCTTGGTTGGATTAATTGCTTCTTTATAAACTTTTGAAATAAAGTTACTGTCATTAATAATATTTGAAACAATGTTACTACCATTAACTGGGCAAGAAGAAATAAAGATCAGCTCACCTGCTGTTCTGGATGTATCTGCTTCAATTTCATTTCGTTGCGCTAGTAGGTCCAGTATTGCTGGGTCATCCGCAGGAATACCGTGTTCAATTTCAATATCTATGAGTCCTTTAGTATAGTTCAGTCTTAAGTTAAGGAGTGTGATCTTCTTAGTCAGGAGTGTGAAGACCGATCTTGGACCTGTCTCTCTCTCCCCCTTTTCACTCTCATCCGCACTTCATTCTTGCGATGACGTAGGTCCGGCTCGCCTGCCCTTCACATCCAAAGCAATTTTCCTACCCTCACCCTCTACCCTCCCTCCTTCGGCAGCGCTGTAGCGGAAATACTTTTTCGGGTACATAACCTCACAGGCTGTAATCCCCAGTGGATTGACTATTAATTGGAGGTGAAACTGAACTATGGTTTTTTCACTTGTCCAGGAGTTAAGTTTAAAATATAAAATTAGTTAAATTACGGAGCAATAGCTTTATAAGAAATTACATTTATGTTGTCGGAAATATTATCAATAATAAATTTAAAATTATATACAGTGCCACTACTAGTTAATAAAAACTAGTGGTGTTGATTTAGTTCAGTAAAATAAGATGAATTTTAACTATTGAGGCTATAAGTCTTAAATATTGCAGCAGAAGTCTATTATTTACTCTGCTTGGTTGCTTAGTCTGGTCGAAATGAGAGCGCGAGCTGTGATTGGTCGAGGGTGAGGTATGCTATTTCGGCTGCGCGCCTCCCTCCTTTGGCAGCGGCGGACTGTTCTAGTCCCCCCCGTGCCGAAATAACCCCTCCTCTCTCTCTTTCTCTCATCTATCCAATTTCGCTACGTCACTCCTGCCGGTGCCCTAAGCACGGCGCTCCCCTTTCGCCTCTCGTATCCTCATTCACCCCCCTTCCACACCACCTAATTTGTTTTTCTCTCTTTTCAGTCCATCTTTCGACGCATTTTATTTCCCAGTCATATCACCATATTCCGAGTAGAAGCGACTGTTTAGTCGCTGGTCCTCGATAAAACGTAGAATAATTGACCATGATCGTCACGGGGGATCAGGGATCAATTCCGGAGAAGGAGTCTGAAAAACGGCTACCGCATCCAAGGAAGGCAGCAGTTGTGCAAATTACCCAACCCCTTCTCGGGAAAGTAGTGATGGGAAAAAAAAACGATGCAAGACTTTTTCCATACCCCGTGATTGGAATGATGATTGCAATGTAAAGAATGAAAAGTATCAATTGGAGGGCAAGTCTGGTGACGGCAGCTGCAATAATTCCGACTCCAATAGCGTCCATTTAATTTGTTGCGGTTGAAAAGCTCGGAGTCGGATCTCAGTTCGGAATGGAGGGTCGGCCGAAAGGCTGCAGACCTTTCCGTTTGCCGGCGTATGGCCGATTTCCGGGGATGATCTTTGCCGGTTGTACCTGGAGTCTGGGTAGTTTACTTTGAAGAAAAAAAATACGAAAAATAAGAGTGCTCAGAGCAAGTCTAGATAATGGTGCATGAAATAATAGAATGGGACCTCAATTCTATTGAGTTGGTTTTCGAAACTCGAGCTAGTGATCAAAAGGGACAGACAGGGTATTCGTACTGCGACGCTAGAGGTGGAATTCCTAGACTGTCGCATGACGAACGACTGCGAAAGTATTCGTCAAGAATGTTTTCATTGACCCAAAGTGAAAGTCGGACGTTCGAAGGTAATCAGAAACCACCCTAGTTCTGATCATAAACTATACCAGCCAGCAATCCGGTTGTGTTTCAGAAACGACACACCGGGCAGCTTCTGTGACGGGTTCAACTCGAAATAAAAATTCTTCATTCTTTAAAACTTAATTTATTATTACGCGACGTCACAGAACAGCACAAGAAGACGGATATTACAGAACACATAAAACATTTTGAACAGTTAAGATGAACATATCACACACACTCGAAGAAAAACATTACAGTTCTACTACTATCCGCCACACTCAACGTTCCACTCTGGTCCCAACGGATAGTATTCGCGCCAATCTTCGGACTCGTTTCCTCCAGTCAAAACCGGTTACGACCGTGTCACAGCAGCATCGAGAGGCGACGTTGTGCTGCCATCTATATTAGGAATGGTTAATTACTTGATTGAAGTCTTTACACTTCCCAAGAGACCAGAGCTTTTAAGTTCCGGAGGAAGTATGGTTGCAAAGCTGAAACTTAAAGGAATTGATTAAAGGGCATCACCAGGGTTGAATCCTGCAGCTCAATTTGATTCAACACGGGTAAATTGACCCAGTTCGGACACGGCAAAAATTGACAGATTAAGATCTCTTTCTTGATTCCGAGGGTGGTGGTGCATGACCATTCTTAGTTCGGGGGCTATTGGCGACGGTTCTCGTATTTTTGAGCCTCGGTCAGGTGCGAAAACAGCATCTGTGCTGGCGCTCTACTCTTCAAACTTCCACACCATACCAACGGGAGGACTTGCGACCTTAATCATAATCTACGACTCAGATTTGACGTGCATCTGCCCCGCAAAATGGCGGATCTTTAGTGGCATCAGTGTTAGTGGCACCACGACAACTCTTTCGGGGAATGAAATAATATAATCGATTTAATTCAGTAAAATAGTACGATTACATTTTCTAGTTGATTTTTAAATATATATAATTTGATTATGTATTATTGCACAAATTAAAAACGAACCATTCTCAAAATAATTTTTAAATACATACGTCGAATGTAACAATATATTTCTTAAAAGTGATTTAAAAAGATTGATAAAAAAAAAAAAATAACCTAGAATAACTATGATTACTTCGGAAGTCCAGATTTGTTAAATCTTCAAATTAAAGTGTTGGGTGTCAAATTAAACCCATCATGAACTGCAATTGTAAGAAAAATAACGCTCTTCAAATACATAATATACTGCATTTTATCTATTTTTACAAATAAAAAAGATACTATTTGCACAGCTGGTTTTCGTTGTGTACATATTACAATAGACAATGAAAATTTCGATAAACAAATGATAATTCTCGAGATCATGCACTCGAGCTTGTTCGCACATGTTGGCTACGGAACGAAAATGTTACTAGCCCTCATTATCTCAAATATTACAATGAAGGAAAAAAATAAATCTCAGTCGAAGATTTATTATGAATTTTTTTTAATTGATTGTTTATTTTCGTTGCATTTCTCAGTAACACGAGAGCTATTGGCGACGGACCTCGCAATTTGGAATCCCAGGCAATTCAAGAAGAGGACACGTAAGCTAACACCTACTCTCCAGACTTTCACACCACGCTAACGAGAGGACTTGAGATCTCGGCATATTTAAGGTGTATCAACCCCGCTACACGGTGGGTCTTTAGTGGCATCAGGACTGGAATCCCTGACTCGATAAAAACAACGAGGCCAGCATATAAAAAGTTCTGCTTTTAAAATGAAAGATTTCTTTGATGTATTTGAAGGATTAAAATTAAGATTTTATAAGAATTAAGAATATTTAAACTATCAATAAATACATTGAAAAGAAAAGAATTTTTTAAATAGTAATACAAAACATACTACCTCAGGGGCTTATTTTTGTTAGGTGACTACGGTAATCATGACGCCCGAGTTACCCTAGTGATTTTTTTTCCTTCCCATGGAATTTAAACACTGATGATGCGCCTCCGGGATACTCTAGTGACAGTGAAGTTGCAATAAGCAAATAAGGGGGTTGTAACCCCCTATCCTCAAAAAAGAAAAAAAATATTGTTCAGTGAAATTTTAAACGATCACTTCGAATGAAATGACTGCAGGGAGCGGCTAAACCTGTTTGCATAGTCATTAAATCAGATAACTGTATTGTCATTGGGTCTACATAGGTACTTATGCAAAATTTCAAGAGAACTGGACAAGAGGAGGTAATTTAAAATATAACTACAAGATCTGACGTAAGCAAATTTATTTACATTTATATGAAGTTAAATAAAAGCTTGTCGAATACTTGATTCAAAGCAAGATTCAAATTGATTTAACTTTTTTTTCGATTTCGGAACGGACGCGGATGGCCACGATTTGCTGTTCTCACGTAAACAAATGTAATTAGTATGTCTATTGATTTATTGTCCTAGATTTTTTTTTGAATTATTGTCCTTGAACAACAGACGTGTTGGTTATCAGTGACATTTAATTTCTTTAAATTTTTTATTATTTAGAAGAGCGGCGCAAAGTTGATATTTTATACTTTGATAAAGTTTCACATGTTAAATTTACTGGCTATTGTAAAGTTAAATTTATTTGTTTTATATGATTCTTGGAATGTATAGGAGAGACTTAAGATAAATATTTTGTGAATATACTTTTCAATAACCCTGCGGTTTCACTCATGTAGAATGTTATTTTTATTTGTTTTAACGTATTGAATTATAGGTAAGTTAATTCTAAGCACGAGTAATGCATTCTTTATATTAATTATTCTTTATTTTTACAGGAAAGGAAAGGCGGGAGCAAATTTAAGGTTCGCCTCGGGTGGCAGAAATCCACGCTACGTCACTGCTCTTTCGTAACCGTTTGGGTACACAAAACAAGTTGAGAAACCTCTGCCGTAATGGAAAGGGTTCCAAAAGTCAAGAATTTTTGCACCTGAAAAGGATTGATAAGGGTCTCGTTTATGGTCAATGTCTTAGCGCCATCTCAGTCGGTGAAATATTAGCCAAGTAAGCAAAAAATTAAGACGGAAAGTCGCACCAAGAGGGCGCCAGGGTACCAGGTGATTAGGTAAGGGGGCGCCAAGTGATTAGTTTACGTGCTATTTTTTAGTACTTTGATAATATGGTATTTTTCTCGACACCCTTGGAATGTTAGAAATGTCTTTTTTTTTTTTTTTTTTTTTTGCTGTTACAAATGTCATAGTTTTCTTACATCGATGTGATAAGATTGTGAAAAAAACATTGATATCACGGAAGAAAAAAAAAACTGGAAATATTTTTGCGAATATCCAGTTTCAATTTGCTATAAAAAAATGTGCCTAGTTCACGTTCATTTCTTTAGACGAAGTCAACCTTAAAAAATGTTCTACGCAATGTTTTGCACAGAACAGATTTATAGCCACCCAACGTACTAACTTTTTTAAAATAATTGTTAAATTAATCAAGTAATGCTACAATTACAGTAAACGAGGAAATATTGAAATAGACAATAATATAATCTACATGTAATTAAAATTCAAGCAAACGTGATACAATTGTTAAACTGAATACATTTTAAGTTAAAGGTAACTAAAATTAAAGGAAATGGTTATTTATTAAACTAAATATATTGTAAGCTAAATGTAATTAAAATTAAAGCAAACGGTAAATTGTTACACTCAATATATTTATGCTAAATGTAATTAAAATTGAAGCGAAAGATATAATATTTATTAAATTGAATATGAAATAAGCTAAATAGAATTAAAATTAAAGGAAACGATAAATTATTAAATTGAATATAAAAGAATATTAAAAAACTGTAGCATTAAGCCTATAGATAGAACCGTAAAATTGAGATATTTGAATAATATCATAATTAATAGTTAAGATTACCAAGTGTTTATATTTAACATTAGAGTCAAAACTCTATGAAGTATAATATAAAAGATTATAGAAAAACATAATATTAAATCTATGGATGGTACCGTAAAATCTGGAAACAGAACAGGGTTATAAAAAAAATCTAATTTAGATATAAAAAAAATTGAAAAGTAGTCCTTACAACAATTTATACGCCACCTAAAACAATAGCTCCTTTGGGTGGCTTATAAAAATTCTTTATATGACTTTTATTTAAAAAGATTATAAATCCAAAGTATATAGTTACATTATGTATGAATTATTTTTACTGATTTTTGTTACTTAATTTCATACATTGATTGATTATTAAAGTAAAATTATATTAAAATGAAATTAGTAGCAAATGTTGTATAGTTATTGCATAAGTATGAGTCCACAATATTCTGAAAATGTTCACGTCATAAAAATCTACATACATGAGGTCCTTTTCTAAAACGTCGTACGATTTCACTCTGATTTAAGTAGAAACAAAATAGGTTGTTATTGGAAAAAGCGTTCAGCGCAATTTGCGTTGTTGTGATTGTGTATTAACGTTGCACTGAGAAGCAACTCGCGTGCTATTGGCGACGAACCTCAGCATTTTGAGCTTCGGTAAAGTGACTGAGGACTACACGTGACCACTCCAAATTTCCATACCATGCCAGCGGGAAGACTTTGGACCTCAATCATATTTAATTCGCATCAGCCCCGCTACATGACGGGTCTTTAGTAGTATCAGGGTTCGAACCCTCGATTCGACGAAAACAACACCGACCGCGAGTCAACGAACATGACCACTAAACTATTGCAGCCATAATTAGTGTTATTATGGTTCCAGTTAAAATGACTGCAAGAATGAAAAAAAAATTTGAAGTTCGGAATTTGATTTATTAAAGAGAAATAAAACTATCATACTTTAAAATTTCAAAAAATTGTTGGGAAGAGTTTATCTATCGTCTAAACTATTATAAGAAATTCCGAAAAAAACTTGACATATTTTAAAAAATTCCCAGTGGACGGCCGAAGATTTTGAATGGTCGAGATGCTTGAATAATGGCGAGGCAAGTGATGTTAAATCCAAAATTATCCATTCGCCAATAACTGAAACATGCTGCTGTGACATCTATTACTAAAATTGTTATTGCAGGTATAGTAGGAAGAATCCTCTGATCTGAAAGATTTCTTGGCAGAATTCTATTAGAAAATCATTTACATCCAAAGGAAAAGGCTGAAATTT